AATATGGACATAGAATATCTGAAGAAAGAACAAAAATGAAAGTCAAAAGCAGAGAATAGAACTTAGAAGTGAAGGAGAAGAATCATATGAGTCAGGAGAGAGAGAGAGAGAAAGTAATATTCCTCAGAAACCATGTCTCAAAATTATGAAAAAGGTCTAGGTAGATCCACAACATGGGTAGAAGAATTGGCAAAGGTAAGGAGTGGGAAAAAACTATTAAAATCCACTTTCTCACGAATGGGAAACACAGAGGAGGTATTATCAGGTTCAGAAGAAGGTCCAAGCTGCATGAAAGACTCCATTTCCATTTGCAAAATAGCCATCACTTCCTGAACAAAGACAAACCTAAAAACATTTTAGTTGTTAGTCTAGCATGAACAATATTTTCTTGTCCCATAACAGACATGTGCATGAATAATATGGAAATACACACCCACAAAATTTACAGGTGCAGAAATGTTAGAAAACAAAAATCTAAACTTGATATTTTTCATAATAGTGTTTTTTAGATACTTTTACAACGAATGTCTATATCTCACAAGCTGATGAGTGAAAAAAAAAGATGTCTTTGAACAATCAATATAGAGGGAGTCAGCTGCACTAGAAGAGTGTGTTGCATTCCTATCGATAGAGGATTGTCACATGCTCATTTGCATGCAACAATGCAGCAGTATCACATGGAAACATGTGATTTTAGGTAAAAATCTCAAGTCTAGAGGTGAACAAAAAGTTTGCATATAGAGGGAAGCACTGAATCAGAAAGCTATATGTAAGGGAAGCTACATATTTTATTGACATTTTTAGTCAGTGAAGTTTGTAACAATAGCCATTAGAGTAAGCAATACCTTATATATCACAGTATATACTTGTTTGTTTGTTGAATTTTGCATAAAGTTAATCAAGGTCTATCTGTGTTAACCATCCCCCTACTGTAGAAGTGATACACGACAAGGAAGGCAACCAATCAACACCACCCACTGCCAACTCTTGGGCTATTTACCAATGAATAGCTTGACTGAACATCACATTCTAAAGCCCCCCCCCCCCCCACACACAACTGATAAGGATGAGTATGTTTCAACACTGGTAACCCACGGATTGCAAATGGAGCTCCCTAAAGACAGTACATAACAACTCTGTTTTAAAAATAAAATTACATAAACAAAGAACATAATTTGAATCATGATAAAGGTTTTATTTTATTTGAATATAAAGTTAAATTTGGCTCCACAGTGCCACTACTTCCTGCAAACTTTAAACATGATTCTAAAATGTCTGAAATCAACTTGAAATGAATTGTTACTAGTATGTAGTGTTTATAATAATAACTAATCATAATTATATATATAGATAATAACACTACTGTAATGTTCCTACTAATATGTTGTTTACTTAGGTTACAAGTCATGAGTGAAGTTATCAAAACTAATAGTAACATTGGTTCTTCTATGGATTTAAGATTAAATTAACATTCTTTTAAAAAATGCTGTTTACATTTTTTTAAACTGAAGAACATACTTCTTTATTAAAACTAAATTAAAAATTTATCATGTATATTTCTTTGTATAGCCCTTATTAATATGGTTGCTATTATGATTTTAAAAAGACAGACTTACTTAACAGCAACTTAACATTTTGATTAAATTAAATCTTTCTTACCAATGTAATGCTTTAGATTTTACATATTTCAACATTTTGGTTAGGAATTCTTCATTTGTCTTAACACATTTTGTCACACAGGTTACTATTAGACACTTAAAAACAAATATTCTTTGTGTTTGTACAAGGAACTTTGAACTCATTACAACAAGCTTTAAACATTATACTTAAAGCACATGTAAAAGGTCATACCTCATGTGCTGAAGGCAACCCTTGATTACTAATAGAAGAAAAACCACTGAACAAAACTGATGACAAGCTCTTCTCTTCAATCAGTTCCACCATAATCCCTACTCTTTCGTCATCTAAGACACTACCGTCATGAAGACTGGTATCAAGAGGGGTTTCCACAGTAACATGATATACAACTTTGTCTTTACAAAGGAGACTGACCAGATTTCTCTGTTGTAAGAAAAAAAGATAACACATGACAAGTAGAAACACAACTTAAACAGATTAACTTTCTTACTGGTTTATAGAAGAATAAACATTGTAGCTTTAACACTTGCAATTCTTCAACCATATTCTTCCTAATCAATTTAACATTAGCTAATAACTTATCTAATTAAGATGAAGTTGAACTTTACAACAACAAAATGTGGCCATAGCCAAGCAAATTGGAATATTTCCCATGATTCTTTCTACTGAGGACAACTGTACACTGACAAGTATCAAGTTTTCATATATAAAACACAATGAAACTTATTGTTTACCACTGTATGTATGGTGAAAAGGAATGTTTTTAAAAACAGATTTTTGCAAAGTTTACTTCACCACACTTGTGGAAGAAAGTATTTTTATTTTAATGCAGTTCTTTCTTTAAAGTAAGAGTTAGGAACTTATAAGGTTAAATAATGATATAATTGGGTTAGATCAGGGGGTTCCCAAACTGCAAACCATAAAAAAGTGTCAGGGATAGACTATAGCAAAAACACAATACTGTTATAGTACTCTGTACATGAAGATGCCTTTACTGTTGAAACCATGGACGCAATAAGTATATTTGTGAAACATACGGCTGTCTGTTTTCCTCAGTTCTATAATTTTGGAATCTCACCAAGTACTAATGGCTTTAAGTATTAATTATATTCAATATCTATAGATTCACTGGATGAGGCCTCAGTCATGATGAAGAATATTCTGGGGGGACCTCGTGCTGAGAGAGATTGAGAACTACTGGGTTACATAAATTGGCATTTGTTATTTCTGAAATTATAATTAAAACTTTTTATAAGCAAGAATGATGTTGCAAACAATTAAAATAATACTTATTTTTTACATGTATCTGAATTATATCATTGTTTGTTCAAAAACTTTGTATTACAATTATCTGTCTTGTAAATTATTTTGGAGAAAGAGCACTGTATGCACCTAGTGTCATTTGATGAACATTTTTTATGTAAAATGTGTGCATGAGCATCGTTTGGAGATAAACATCTGATGCAAATTATATGCATTAGTGTCATTTGGTGTAAACAAATCTGATGCAATCTGTATGCATTAGCATCATTTGGGGAAATCTAATTTCATCATTGTTTTAGTTTTCAGTTTTGATTAAGAGTTAGATATCTAGCAGAGTAAGTAAAGTTTGTTTTTTTAGTCCCTTCCGTGAGTAAATCAAGAATCCAATATTGGAGAAACAGTTCGATTGTGTAGCCTAAAAGCTGCATAGTTAGGCTTGAGTCTGGGAAATTGACATATTTTGTACAAGTGACAAGTAAGCCAGTTATTCATATCAATATACAGACGCTTCCCTCATTTTTTAATTGGACCTAGTGTAACAGTATCTTATTTAGAGAAATACTTGAATTGAAAAAAAATTATAAAGCATATTTTTCAATAGAAACAATAATATTATTAGTTTTCTGAGTGTATTATATTACAATTCCATTAAAGTCATAAAACAACTCAAGGTAAATGGCATGCACAAATACATTTCACTTTGTTTAAAATTGTAAGATTAGCTACATAAAACACTAAGTAAACATTCCAGGGTTATTAAGGGATTGAAGTTAAACTTTTCTTGCAATGCATGAGCTAAATGGCCAGACAAAGGGTTCAGGGCATGGCTGTTTGTTTGTTAGGAAGTTCGCGCAAAGCTACACAAAGGTTGTTTGTTTGGTGCTTTATGGCACAAAACAACCAGTAAAAACATTGAAAGTAAATTAAAGTAAAATGTAAAAATATAGTGAGTTAAAACCAATATATGTCGATAAAGTATTTACATATATATAATTAAAAAGACCTATAGTGTGTAAAAAATTAAAAATACAATCTAATCGGACAGTGTCACCATTACCAATGACACTGTCCAACGTCAGGGGTAAACTCTTAGAACACGTGTCTAAAATGGTACCACCGCTCACAGTTGTAATGACAGTAAAATGTGGGCTATTGTGACTTGAGTGTCACAATGGCTACACATCAGTGGATCAATACCTGATAAAAGAAAACGATGGGTTAAAAACTATGACCAATGCGTAGCCTTGCCAGGACTACTTCCTCCTTCTGATCCTTACGGAAGCAAGATGGCCAAAGACCAACAGAAGGTTTGATCTGGAAAAGCTTGTTATGACGTTGCTCATCTCAAGTCGACTGCTAACTGGCAAGAATCTGTGCCTTGAAAACAGGACTGTAGTCCATGTATTGGACAGGCATGGCCATGATGGCACCAGAGTAGACGAACTTAGCTGTGGTGTCAGCGAGCTCGTTCCCGTGAATACCGACATGGCCAGGAATCCAGAAAAATTGGATGGAAATAGAAGATAGAGAAAAGTGGGCCAATCGGCCAGTAGACAGCTAAGAGAATCAGTGTAAATAGTACAATTACTGTACTGAATAGCTTCTACATGATCCAGGGCAAGAGAAATAGCATACAACTCAGCAGTGAACACAGAAACTGTGGAGGGGATCCTGTGAGCAACTGCCGAGCCACAGCACACCATGGCAGAACCTACAGAGTCACCCGAATTCAAACCATCCGTGTAAATAGGAAGAAAAGAATGGCTCAAAAGATGTTCAGCAAAAAGAAGACAGTACTTCCAAACAAGAGTATCCGCCTTCCTCAGATTAGGAGGTAGCATATTGTAAAGAAAGTCGCAAACGACGGAGGTGAAGAGGAGGTTCGTAGGACTCGGTGTACAAACTCTGGACTGGAGAAGTGCAAAAAGCTCCTGTGCAGAGCCAAAGCCCCAGAAGGTGAATGGGGTCCAGCATCTTCAAGGCCGAGGTACTGGCAGAACCATAGACCAAAGACCCATAGTCCAATTTGGATCGGATCAGGGCACGATAGATCCTGAGCATAGAACATAGATCCACTCCCCAAGAGCCCTTGCACACTTGACACGTAGCTGCTTGATGTGGCGCATGTTTAGCAGCATCAAGGCTCGAGCCTTGGAACACTAGATCATGACTGGCAAAACTCTTAATGCTAACATTTCTGCATTTAAAATAAATTTCTTATATGTATTTAATTACATGTTATCTAGAAATGTAGCTGTTGATCTCACAGAATTTAAGTACTCTCATTCTTTTTAGTTATTCACTTTGAATTGTCAAAGTCTGATCCTTGTTCCCATGGTCTTATTCAGAATAAGGGCAGTCCTATATCCTGCCAAGTTTTCCAATATCCTTAGAATGGGACTAACTTACAAATATTCCATTGGATCTTCATTCTGTCAGAGGTTGAAACTGCAAGTGGAAAGGAAGGAAAGGTGAGTGTATACCGATATAACTATGTATTTGAAATTTAATTTAACCCTATCATTGCCAGGTGGATTCATGTTGCCTGGAGGGAAAAAACTGCACCATTGAATGAAAAAATATTATAAAAAATAAACTTGTAAGCATTCTTCCACAACAACAAAAACTTGAGAGTTGAGATTTATTCAATAAAAAGTTATCTATTTCATTCTGTACATGTTTTTTCTATTTCCAAATTCTTATTTCAGCTCATTCCCAATGAAAATATTAGTGTTGCTGAATTACCCAAGTTTTTCTAACCTTAATATTGCATTCAAAGCCCTCTAGAAGGAAACTTAAAATAGTTTTTAATGAAATGAAACAAACATAAGCCTTATAATTTCAATCAATACAAGTGTAATTTTATCAGTTTTACACAATCACTGTCTCTCAACTTGGTTTGTCAAGGTTTGATGCAACTGCCTATAACTCAGCTTTGAGAAGTAACTGGCTAATGATCTAAACATGTAGCAAAAGCTTTCTCTGTTCTTTCCTTCAATATAGGCCATTCTAACTTCCATGTCAGAAGAAAATGATGATATGTTGGTAGAAAAAAAGATGTTTATAAATAACTTCCACCAATTAGTCTTATTTTTTTAAGGCTGTTTTATCATTTTATATTTCATTTGAATTATGACAATGCAGTAAGATGGGAATATTTTTAAGTAAAGTGAGGTAAAATTAGTTAGACAATTTTTTACTTGTCCACATCCAGTTTCATTTTCCCAACAAGGTCAATGTTAACATCAGGACTTATTACCTTTAGTATCTGCTGAAATGACCACAGAAAATCAAGGAAAATAAACGTTTATTATATACACGTATAAGTGAATATAAAATAACTTTAAAAGTTATGACATATCAAATGATACCTTCCGATTAACAATTTAAAAAAAAGTCAGCTTCCTTATAATTTTGGTAAAAAAAGTTATTTTCCAGTAATTGTATATATAGTGAAACATGCAGTATTTTTCAAATCAAAATAAAGATAGAACTTACAGTTTTGCCAAATAAAAACTTCCTGGGAAAGTTTAAGAATGTATGAAGACATACAAATCAGAAACTGAAACTTACATCAAAGGTAAACATTTTTATTGATTAAATAAAACACCCAATGAATTAATGGAATGTTTTCAAAGTTTAAGAGATGTGAACTTATACAAACATCATATAGAAAGATATTTTTACTTGCAGAAGCTACATAATCTGTAGAAAGTTCATATTAAGTTTAAAGTTATCTCAACCACTGGTTTTTTGTAATAATAATAAAAAAAAGACATAAAACATGTACATCAAATTGATCCCCCCGTGAATGTTAAACATTTTAAATTATTTCTATATATAAATATATATTACATCAAAAAGAAGTAAACAAAAGAGAAGGCTTAAACAAATAACCTAACTAAAAAGAAACCACCAGAGGCTAATATAGCATGAAGCAGGTAAAAAAAACAGGTACAGATGGTTGCATGAGCACCTACAAGCAGAGATCAGTGACATCATGACTTAGTAGTGTACAGGTGTATAGTTATTTGTCTCATAATAATCATTCCTAGTAACATGATAAAATGAGGTAAGCCATGCAAACAAAGGATAACAGAATGAGGCAGGCACTGAAATGCCAAACTTTATCTAGGATAACAGACTGAAGTAGGCACTACAATGCCAAACCTTACCTACGATAACAGACTGAAGTAGGTACTAAAATGCCACACCTTACCCAGGATGACAGAATGAAATAGGTACTAAAATGCCAAACCTTACCTAGGATGACAGAATGAAATAGGTACTAAAATGCCACACCTTACCCAGGATGACAGAATGAAGTAGGTACTAAAATGCCACACCTTACCCAGGATGACAGAATGAAATAGGTACTAAAATGCCAAACCTTACCTAGGATGACAGAATGAAGTAGGTACTAAAATGCCAAACCTTACATCTTCATACAGACAGTGTACGTTTCTTTTATTCTCAATCAAAACTAATAATGAAATTGGTGAGCTGATAAAAAGAAGACCTTCATCCAATCAGAAATAGTACCTTAACATTTATTTTGCCCATAGTGTCAAGGTCAGATGCTCAAGAAATAAAAGTGGAGTTTCCCCAACAAAAAAATGGTAAAAAGGAAAATAAGAAGAATGATAGAGGGAATGAGTGCAATCTTTGAAAAAGTGTTAATGGAAAAAAGGTAAATGATAAGAAAAGAAACGTACAATGAATACAACAAACAACCACAGAGACAGCCAACATAGAAGTGTTATACACTGTCAGTATACCAGTTAGTGTAAAATGCTCTCAAGAAGATCAACCAGAGAAATCAAGAAACGCTGAAGTGACAACCAAATAAACCTTTCCTAAAAGTTACTCAAAACCAATCATTAAAGGTAAAAGAAGATACTTATAGATTATTATAAGCATTCACCTATTAAGCCCAAGTATGAAAAAGAAAAAAACAATCTGAATAAAGGTATAGACAATCCATGAAAAACATATGGTAAAAATAAGAAGAAAAAAAAGGCAAACAAGCCAGGATCGAAACAGGAAAAGCTTAAAGAAAATTATAACATATGGAAAGACACAGCACACAAAGATGGTTCAAACTACTGAATTAAATTATAATTCATACTACAAGCCAGTAGAGCACATGATAATCTGTGACAATGATAATAAAAAACATTTCACGGTTAGGCAAAAGAAAAAGTTTCATCAATAGTAAACTGTAACAGGTGAGAAATAGGGAGATTCCACTGGCATAAAAAAGTTAAACCACCAGAAGAATATGGCATGAAATGTTACTGAACTCAATTACAACTCTCAAACAGAAATAATGGAAGGTGAGCATAGGTGAATAGATGCAATAACATGATGACAGTTACCCACTTTCTAAACTACAGTGGTTGGTATTGGAATCTAGATGAATGGAATTTGACAACTGAGGGGAGGCAACCAGATATTCTACACAAAACAATACTCTTAAAAGTCACTCAAGTATCTGAGTGGACATTCCATAAGCATAAAAAAAAATTCCATCAAGATATAATGAAGTTCTCCAAATAAGTCTAAACAATGTGACCCAAGAGGGCAGTAGCAAGCTCAATGTACTGTCTATAGTTTCAAACAACAAATGAGATCAAGATGCCATCCAAGACCATGTGCTGAAAATTCAGTGAGTGCTGGGAATTGCCCCAAACAAAATGTGGATGTATCAGTAAAGATGAAAATAAGAGAGCAAAAGGAACATTTATTGTTGTAGAATAATTGAAATATCAAAAAAGAGAGCACCTGGTTTCTTGGGAAAGAAAACCAGGCAATCATGCTGTTTCTAGACATCCTACCTTCAAGATCACAGTCTTCTGCAGGGAGTGGAAATGAGACCTGCTAAAACAAACCAAATGTTTGAAAAAATCCAATATCAACGAAAAGACAAAATTTCTCCAGTTGTGAGCTATTGAGAGAGAACAGCCTGATTCAAATGAAGTTTCAAGAGAAATCCAATTACAAGTTTTTGCAACAAACAGAGAGAGTGGTGTTTACAGAAACGCCCAAATGAAAACGATGAAGGTCTGAATAAAATTACTAACACAAAGAGGACCAAATCCTCTTACTCAAAAGAGTGACAAATACATTAGATGTTCCCAAACAAACTCAAAGCCAAAGAATGAATCTACAAAAGTTAGAAAAACCACTATTCTCCAAACACAACTTTTGAGCTATTAATTTTATGACTTCATCAAGTGTGGAAGTCTGATCAAGAAGTACAAGAACTTCTGGGTGAAATAAGAAAAAACAAAGTGTATAATAATATACAAACCACACTACAATATCTTCTATATCCAGTGCCAATGAAGTCTTTTGACCAATACCAGGCTGGCTGGGATTGACAAAAACTGTTACAGAATTAAGATGAACTTTAGTGTAATTTTTCATCAATTTTACTTATATCACAACACATCAGGGTTAAGGTAAGGATGTGTTAATACTATTATTTATTTTAACATCACATGTAGTTAATTATTAATTACCTGAACTACCCTGCTCATAATTCAAAAGAACTATTCTTCTTGATCTTGGAGTCAAGTCAAGTCAAATGACCACAGCATGAACAGAATACTACGCTGGTAATTATTAATAAAACTTCCAAGTGAAAGTAAAGAAGAGTGTATAATAATATACCAACCACACTACATCTGCTATGTCCAGTGTTGACAAAACCTTTCACCAAAAACCAGGGATCTACATATATGTATATGCCATTATCAAAAGGGAGTCTCAAAGACATGTAAAGGACATCAATGTGCTCACTTAACATAAAAACAGAGATGAAAACAGGACGGCAACAGAACAAAAAGGAACAAGCCTGTAACCATTAAGAAATCAAAGATATAGACTTAAGTTTAAGATCTGAGTAATATACAGTAAAAAATAATTATAAAAAATCGATGGAGAAACTCACTGTAGTATGGAGATACTACAGACCTTATTCTCCTTTAGTGTTTGTGTCATCTCAATAAAATTTTTAAATTTATTTAACTCCTGGCTTGGAACTTGATAGATCAGTTGAGTCATTTGCCAAATTCAGCCTGATGTGTTATTATCTGCAGAGGATCAGTCAAGGAACTTATCTAGTGTTTCATGAAATAGTTGCATTGTATCCTACTTTACCTATGCAACTATAACATGAAGCAGATATTTCCACATTTTGAAGCCCCTTTTCTGATTGGTTAGCTACAAAAAAGAAGAAACTTTTGGAATGAATTTTGGGCAGTCTCAGCGCAGATTCTTTTCTATCTTTGAGATAAGCAGACTCAAGTGTCTGAGAGGGCCAAGCTCACTAGTGAAGCTCTTCATTTTAACTTTGTTCTTCTATCACCTTTGTCGCTTGCTTATCTTGTGTGTTTATCCAAATCTGTCTACTTATTTATCGGTGAAGGCTCGTTTATTTTCTTTATTTGAAAACATTTTATTCTCTGAACTATTTACTTTATTTCATTCTACTTCATAACACTATAACCATTTTCATTGAAAGAGCTTCTTCATTTCTTCTTATTCAGAAATTAATGACTATTTTTATTTCAAACTTCATCACCATGTCTTGTCTTCTTCAATCCACCTGCGACAAATCAATACAGTTATCTTTCCACATACCGAATCCTCAAACCTTGACAGTTTTTGAAGAGATCAGGTAACTGTGAACTAGGTTTATCCTTCATGATAAAGCAAAACATGAACATGATAATAGGAAGCATTTATTAAATGTTTCGGAATCATCATAATTCCATCATCAGTAATCTAGAGGTACAAACAAACAATATTTGTAATTACAACAGAAATATATACATAAGAAGTAAACAATTTGAATATACAATTGTAACAAGATAAAATGAAAATGTGACACATATGAAATAGTTAAAACAAGTTTAAATCAAATGAAGACTGTATTATTTAGGAATGGAAGGAGAGTTTTATGTATAATGTTTCTTTTATAAGAAGTTCAGTATCATGTTTGGCTGTTGAAGATAGAAATCGGATGTCCCGTTTCTGTATTGTGCTGATAGATAGCAGGGTTGGGAGGTTTTGTAATCTTTCTTCCAGTTTTTATAGATATGCCCACGTGTTCACATGCTCATACTTTAAGGTGAAATTTGGTTTCACCAATATAGGAAGCCTTGCAGTCTCCACACGTGTATAAGTAGACAAGATGTGAACAATGGGCAGTTGGCAAACTATCTTTGTAGCAGAAAAAAGATTTTAGTCTGAAATTGGGTTTCATAATAACTTTCAGGTCAATTTGGAGATAGTAAGAGTTACATAATTTTTTTTCAACTGTATCGTGATAAAGGAGCTCTGTCTCCCGAGATATGGTAAGCAGGTGTATAAGGGAAGTTTGGGTACAGTGGGTACCTTAGGTGGTTTGAGAAACAAATTAGTTAAGAATGAGGAAGTTATTTTTTCCAAGAAATGCATAGGGTAACCATTTCAAAAGTGAATACTTTGTATGGAAGTAATTTCTTTATGAAGGGCTAGATAAGATGAAGTAAGTTTGTAGGCTCTATTTAGTAGACAGAGAATAAGATTGCATTTGAAAGATAAGGGTATAAAACTGTCAAACTGAGTGAAAAGACCAGTAAATATGTTTTTACGACAGACAGAAGTTTAAAGGCCATTAGCATCATGGTTAACAGAAAGGGAATAGTGTTATCTGTCTCAATTTCATGAATGTTGTGTATTAAGATAGCCAAGAAAGCGTTGGATACAATATCATGATACGAGTCGATTACTAGGTTTATCCTTGAATTACCACACACCCAAGTCAAAGCCAAGAGTCCTTCTGAAAGATACAGTAGATGAGTTAAAATCTTAGAAAGATTGTTTCTACAAATAAAGTTAAGGTAATATATTTGAGAAGTAAAATTAAATGTAGAAAATGTTAACACAATCCTGACATTACAGTATATTTATAATTCTCCTGAGCATGTAACAGATTATATAAGCCAACATAAACAACAGTATCACTACAAATATAAAACAAATACAAGTTTTATCTTACTTCAGGTTTATTGTTTGGTCTACCACACAACAAAAAATTGCATTTCTTGACAAAATGAGCTAAGTCCTGATTTTCAGCCATATTTTTCTCCAGTATGCTTGCCATTTTCCAAAGATCAATAAGATTGCCAAGTTTTAAAAAGTCCATATAGGTTTGAAGTGTTATATCAACCACTGCACCTTCTTCTGGCTGGCATGTGTCTTCACAATACAGTTTCATATAGTTGTTGTGAGCAAAAATTACTTCACTAGCCATCACTCCATATTCTCCTTTATCCTGTTAAAACAAATAACTGATACATACACACTTACTATATGTGATAAAGATTAATATTAAGAAACAATATATTTCTGTGCTTCAAAGAAAGTTATAACTGGGATATTTATAACTCATATGCCAAACACATCCATAAAAAAAACTCAAATTATTTCATATTTGCAAAAATGGATATAAAAACAAATACCTTTTATTATCAAGGTACCTTTTTATTTAGTCCAGCTATACTTAGCTGCAAGGCTAATAGATGGTCCTTGTCACTTAAAAACGTAGTGTGCCTGTTTTCAAACAGACTATACTGACGACAGAGACGCAGAAAAAACCTTACAAGTGAAACATTACCATGATGACAAGTATTCTTGAGCTCCAATGTTTCAATGCTGTTATCACATGATCCACAACGAATGACACAAAAGTCTGTAATGTAAAAAGAACAAAGCTGTATAAATTTAATAAATGCTAATTACATTTTCATATTCTATTAAAAGAAACAAAAAAACCTAAAAACATTATTCTTAACATCTCAAAACTGTTTTACAAAGTTACATACATGTATGTTCTGATCATGAGTGTCATTAGTGTAGGCCCTGCTATGCATAGCCAATTCCAATACTAATATATAACTTACTTCTTTGTGATAATGCTTAAAGATATTTTTTGTTGTCTTTAAAAATTTGTAGTCCATAATGAAGGAATTTACACCTTTTTAACTGGAGTGTAAAAGCCATTTTTTTTCTAAACTTTAAAGATATTTAGTTATTTTATTATTTGTGTAACAAGTTTGACTAATAAGCAGGGCTACTGGGTCTGCAACTGACAATCAAGTTAAGCCCATATATATTATGATATCATTTCTGTTGTTTCTTGCATAAACAATTATTTCCAGTAGGCTATATTAGAGACTCTAAACAACCATTCTTAAGCAAATGTAATTTTAAAATAAAAATAAGTTTAAGGCTTAATTTATATATATTGTTACGCCTCTGGTCATTTGTTAATTTCCTGTATAATTTCTTTCGGATCAAACTTTAGTGATACAAGTCCTTTCTTAAATAAAACTAGTTTATTCTTTCTCAATTCAACTTTGTAATACACTTAATTTCCACAGTCACTTTAAACACATGCTATAATTCACAATGATTCACGCACTTACTTACGGTCACTACCGAGCATGACTCAATTGTCCGTCTTTATCTCTGCCTGTCTGCAATTCAATTCTGATTAATTTGTCTCGCATTATCCGGCGCACTTATATACAGGAATAGAGGGTGTCTAGCACATACTGGATTATTCGTGATGTTCCCCGATCCTTCTAGAATATCATGACGTGTTACCAGCGTCACGTGACTACTGCTGTCGTAACACTGCCCCTTCCTTAGTATTGTTCGTCCCAAACAATAGCCACTTACATTAAACCAATAGAAAATTAACAATAACTTAATTATATGTACAGAATTTACAAACACAAAGATAAATTCAACAAAGTCTCTTAATTTCATAGGACGTATCTTCTTCCGTACTGGTCTCCGTCTCATTGGCTTCTGCTTCATGTGGGGTTCATCTGCTTCATTAGGAAATGTCCTATCATCAGTAACAGTCATATCAGTGGTAGTAGCTTCATCAAGGGCTTCACTGTTTCCCTTCTCAAAACCGAGTAGAGTTTCTTCTTCGACAATGGCTTTTTCAGGTGACACATCTTCAGCAGCATCATTTGTTCTGTTGTTCACTTCATCCCAACTGAAATGTCCTGAACTGAGATAATGACAAAGCCTGTTGGCATGCACCACCTTTGGCTTACCTCGCCGACCACATTTTATCTGGAAAGTCACGCCTGAGAGACAATCCACAATG